TCCTCCTTCCCCAAAGGCTATAAAATGTGATAACACTTTGGAACTAGCTTTGTGTCAACAATGCATGTCCCATTTTGAGATGTCCTCGTTACTCTTCAGTAGTTGGCCATGCTATTTGTGGAACCCTGGGTCATATGGTCACACAGGAAAAACTAAGTTAGCTAAAAAGAAACTTGCCATTGCCCTCTGCTAGTAGAGCTCTGCAGACTTTTTTCTTTTGGTGCTGTGGATTGAACCCAGTGCCATGCGTGTGCCAGGCAAGTGTCCTACCACTGAGCTACATCCCCAACCAGACAGCAAGACTGTGCTGTCTGTGCTCCTTTCATAGGTTTGCAGCAAAAAAACAATAATTTTAAGAAATCCATACTAACTAAATCTTTATATTCTCATAATGAAAAGCAAATGGTCAATGACAGTCACAAKTCCCTGATCATTTAGAAAAGTCAACCAATTAGATATAAAAGGAAGTACTGCTTGAAATTCCCCATACACACTTAAAAATGGCCTTTCACTACATATTAGTGACCACTGTCTTACCCTTCATTTCCTGGTTTTGAGTTATTATTTCTCAAAAGACTGCAAAGCTAAAGTCAAGTATGCCCTCATCTGGGTAAAATATTCCAGAATCCTTAATTCTCTTATTATTATTTTTCTTAATATCAGACAAAGTAGCATGCCTCTTTCCTTCTGGAGTATGGCTTGTCTGTTACTAAGTCTCTAAAAATAAGTTATTGCTTTAAAAGTAAGGACAAGAATGCAGTTAGCAATTTACCAGTAAGCACAGATCGGAAGATAAACTGTCAGTGGGTGTAAATCCAGAAAGGCAAACTAGAATAACATAACCAAAGAGGTAAGCAGGCTACAGCATATGCCTACTGCTATATAATATGGATTCTGCTGCTGAAATTATAAAACCTCATAAACTTGGTTCTAGGAAAACACCAATAACTACAATATTACATTTATGGTTTGGGGAAAATAAAACTGATGTGCAGACTCCTAAAAAAGAATTTAGCATGATTTTACACAACCTGATTCCTAAAACAAATTAAAAAATTTAAAAATTAGGTTTTCTACCTCCAGTATGACTCACCCCACCAAATGAATCTAAAGCCAAGCTCTGGGTTGCAGAGTTAATTCTCTAACAATGCAGCTGTCATTAAAATCACAGATTCCACTTTCATCCATTCCTGTAAACATGCTCCTTATTTTTCCTTCTTAGGAGAAAAAAAAATTGTTTTTTTTCCTAAATCACCATTGAATTATTAAATAATTTATTTTAACACATTAAAAAATAAAAATAAACCCGGCAGCAATCCTATATGCAAAGAACGGAAAGTAAAGTTACTGGCTCACCTTTTTAGACAAGCAGTATTTAGATTTATTATTAGTGAAGTTCAAAGGTTAAAACTAAAAAAATGCCAGACACTTTGAAGGAGGGGCTAGCTCAGCCAGGGGTCACATGACAGTTGCTAATTGGAAAATGTTAAAAAGGAAAGGGGGAGGGGCAGGGTGTCTGCTTTCCCTTCTTTCTTTATTGTGAAACTTGATTTTCACTGAAAATAAAGGCTAAGATTTGTATAATTCTCAAAAGAGGCTTAAAATAAATAAATCACCCCAAGCTGACTGAGCACAGCTGACACCCTATCAAGACTTTCTAGCAAAACAGAAAAAGAAGGATGAATTTTGAAAAAAAACTGTATTTCCACAGTGATTTTTAAGGAAGACAACCTAGTCCCCAAACTAGTGAAATATTTGTTGCCATTACACTTACAAAATTAAAACGTTCTTCATTGTAGGACAAGCCATTTTATTTCTTGATTTATCTAAATGTTTATTTATATTGAAAGAATGCATGTTTTCTTAAACTATTTTGTGTTGCCTTTTTTAAAGAGCACTGACAAACTTGTAGAARGTAAGTCAAATTTATGTTAATTTAATATCTTAAATTATAAATCAGTTCATTACAAAGAGCAAGCAGCATTTCTTTAAAATCTTTTAAATGGTCTTACTCATTAAAAATGTCTTGGCATTACTTTTTTTTTTTTTTTTACAAAGTACATATTTTCTGTCTCCACAAATATTATGTTAGATTTCTTAAAATATATTTTTCCTTGTGTATATAATTTCTACATTTAATTCAAAGTGATGAACAACATTTTTCATGATTAATGCTAATACTTTATTGACATCAGATAGGAAAGTAATAACCCATAGCTAGATTTAAAGTTGAATTAATGAAACCATTTTGATTGTGCACATTAGCTGCAATTACCTGCACCACTCATTCTGAGCCACTAGATGGTGTAAAAAAATAAATTAAAATGGCAAAATTTCATCATCACCATGAAATCTAAATAGAACTCTGAGTAGGATTAAACATTCTAGGCATATAATAATGCTAGCAATTTCTATACTAATTGTACTTTTAAAAAAACCTTATCAGTATATAACATGGGCCCTACTTTGATCTAGAAACCAGTCCTTTTGAGCAATTTTTGCCCTCTTCCACTAAAAGCCTTGAGTTCTTAATTTATAATATCAAAACATTTAAAATTGTAGTTCTAGTTTACATATTAAATGAATTTATGGTGTTAACTTATAGCCCATATTTCCACTTTGATAAAACTAGAAGGCCACACTAATAAAAGCTTATTAGGGATTTTCTAAACATATACTCAATTCCAAAACAACCAGACTATTAAGAGAACAGACACCCATCAATGTTTCAGAATATGCTCAAATCTTAGCAGAGAGAGCCATGTGCTCTTTTCACCATTACCAAGATTTAGCTGGTTGATTCTACTAGGTCCATAGTTGGGTGACTATGGGTATCCAATCATTCAATTTATGGTGAGAATATGCTGGCTGACAATGTCTTCTTTCTCAGCTCTTCCTTCAGAAACTAAAATGAGCCCCAGTTGAAATACCTACCTCTAGAAGACCACAGTGAAATGATGATGGTGGAATTTTAAGCCTTATAAATCTGATAGCACAAGGTTTTTTGATCAGCTCTTTCCCAAACGAYAGCATTTAAAATTTTAGATGGAAATAAACACTTCCCATGAGCTGGACCACCCTTAACTACTTCTCTGATCAGGATTCACAAATAAAACTACACTCACTACAAAACAGATTTGGGAGAACAGGAACTAAGGACCCCAACATCCTGGAAGTATAAACACAACATCCTGGAAGTATAAACCATACTTTTAATTTCACATTAACAGAAAATGATTTTCTGAGGCAATGGTAGAAATAAAGCAAGCCTATGGGAACTCTGCTTGTTTATCCTAGGAGTTAGTACTCTGTCCAGGCTTTTGGGATAATGATAACATGATTCATGAAAGTTTTAAGAGCAGACCTACAACGGCTTTGTAAGTTTCTTATCTGCAAAAGGAATGTAATGGCCATATGGCATGCTCCCCTATAATCTGAAATTTCAAAYGGAATCTAATCAACTTTTTAATTTTAGACACAATTGCAGCCAAATCAGTTAAAGAAATTGTGCAAGATAAGTAAATTCAGAAGAGTCTAAGAAAGTTTCTTGACAGGAACTAAAACTAATCAGTTTGATTTCTATATTAAATAATTGACTAAAAAAGCTGTTGTTTTAATGCAGGACAATTAGATGCTCAATAACTGGCTTAATCAAGAGTTGTAATGTGCATGTGGCTTTCCATAGCTTCAAAGAACTGAAAGCATCTTTCTGGAAACACTGAGAGAGGTGACAAGCCTTAGCTTTGTGCACCTTAACTAGTGGTTCACACAACTGTCTGTATTTACTTACTATTAAATATTTCTTGCTCCTACAACCTACAAATGCTTATATCTTATTCCTTTTGTATTCCTGGTGCCTAGAAAGGATCCTAGTATATTATAGGTACTTTGTGATGGTTTCAAATTAAATGAAGTGGGGAGACAGGGATAGAAAGAAAGAGAACAGGAAAAAGCACAAGTTCATGTACTGGCTCTGGCACTTTCTTGACCAAAGTTCCCTTATCTGTAAAACCAAGAACAGATGATCTAACAATCCATGATTGTATGTATGATGATTTTAGGTACCAGTTATCTAGTATTAAAATTCAGTGTGGCCTGGTTTCCAAATTCCCTTTGCATCTAACATGTCACATTATCTCTCTGAGAAGTCCAAATATTTCTCTCATCAAGAAATTACACTAAACTCGTAGACTTATGATTTATTTAACATTTCCCAACTTATATTTAAATTGTTTCCACTTATCATTTGTTTCTAAAACAGCCTCACAAAGTAGACAGAGAGAGATTTTTTTAAAGTCCCTATACTATAGAAGGGGAAATTAAAAAATTAAAATGAAGARAGCACAYACCTCACACTGCTCAGAAATATAACCTTGATTTTACATCTGACAGATCCTGAATAATCCAGTTTAGAAGCAGAGACAAAGATTCTTGTACATTTAAAGATGAGTTCACAGCAATGTACTCTGCCACTATGTTTACAAATACAGTATGTTAAACTTAAGAAAAAAATTTACCTAAACCTGTCTGAATAGAAAAGCATTGCTTTTAAATTGTCGGAACACCCAATGTATTTACATAAAGATGAAAAACTTGTTCTATAAACACAGTGTTTCCAGTAGTGAATGGCAGACAAAATCAGAATAAGCACACAGAAGAATAAAAAGGAAGAGGAAAGAAAAACATAATAAATAACCTAATACCTTCCAATGTTAACTTTCACATAAGCACATTGTTCTGGAGAAGGCAGTGGGTGGATGGAAGCCAAAGGCTGAAGTGATAGGTAAACACACTGTTAAGTTGAATCCTGTTATCTGATTGTGTTTAAAATTTGATTATATTTCACTTGACAAAATAATTAATTATTGTGAACTCCCAATTGTTAACTAGGACCTAGAAGAATTCCAAYTGGCATTTTTCCCTCATGTTGTAAATCCAAATGCATGTAAATGGAGCTGCGTATTTCCCCTTTACAGTTGTCATTTGGGGTAACTTCTTACCTTGCTAAGAATGTAAATCACATCACCACGCTTAAATGACAACTCATCAGAAAGTGCTCCTGTACAGTCCCACAGACCCTGGTAAAAATTAGCGTAATCAGTGCTTTTATCACCTAGGAAAAAGAAAGTAAGAGAGTATAAACCAACAGAAATTAAAAGTCCACCCCGACCACCAAAACAGTCTTAAAAAATTCTGTCCTGAGTCAAAGAAACATTTTTATACACACACACACAAGAWTTTACTTTTTATTACTACCATCTAATTAAGATCATTTTCAAAAAGTTCAGATTTTTAATGTCCTTTATCCTTTTTCTGTCTTTCATTTAAAACCTGTGGTGACAGCATGTTCTCACCAACACATCACCTACAAGTTGCTTCCTGCTTACTTTAAATGATTAACCTAAGCCCATCCACAATGTGTTTGGAAGAGAGTGTGCCATACTTCATAATGAGCAATACCCATGGTGATGGGACAAACACGTGGTGAAATAACCATGTCACAGCGTTTGGGATATTTTAACAACCACAACAAAAGAGCTAATGCAATCAAAACTAGGGAATCAATTTTATTTTTTTAAATCCTAAAACCTAAAGCTGCAAATAATATAAGCGTAATTACAGCTCTTTTCCTTGGGGATATTTGTACCCAAAGCCTCTCAAAGTTGTCTTAAAACATTTCAGCAACTTTGAAACTGCCAAAGCTAAAGCTGCATTTTTCACCAGATTTTTTTGTCAGCCCCAGTTTAAGACATTAGGCTCTGAATAAACATGCAACATATACTGGAGTTATCAGCTCATCCTTCTACTAGCATAAGCACAATGGATGTGATGTGCTCAAACTGCCATACAGACCATTAACTGATTGATTATTTAGCGCTCTCCGCTCTGTAATACCACAATAAACCGGGTAATAAATGCTTTGTCACTGATACAATGTGGGTCTCCTGAAACACAGCACAGAGTTAAATACACTGGATGCTTTTGTTACACTGAGAACTGCTTCCTGTTTTTAATTTCATGATAATTGAGTTTTGATGAGTTAATGCAAAAAGAATGCAAGTAATATCAATAAGATGTCCATGTATTCACTAGCCAGGCAGAACACATACGTGCTGACAACCGCCATCAATGGAATGTCGTCTTTGGATTCTGAGGGGACAACTGTGGAGACACATGCTGGATCTGGGTTGTCATCTTAGTTTTGTTCTATGGCTCTCAAACAGCAGGCTTCTGGCAATTCCTATACAACTAGTCACATTAGCATGCCATTAGGGTGCTCATCCTATTATATGTGGTTTCTGATTTATACAAAGTGTTAACTTTATTTGAAAAATTTAAAATCGTTTACTATCTTAAAAATTACTAAAACCAAAAAAGAGGATATGAATAACATGGAGTTGGAATATTTATAGGATGTCACTCTTCATTTATATAGGAAAGAAAATAAACAAGGACTAGAAAAATATACAACTTAGCAAAACCCCCCTAGTAAACGTCTTTCCCATTTTCTAAGAATTCCAAGCTAGAGAGGGACAATGGGAGGAGGGAGGGAAAGAGGAAGGCAGACAGAGAGAGACAGGCACCTTATTGGCTTTTCCACACTAGTATTTGAGCACTCATCACTGATACCAGCAGGGATGTATACAAGCCTGGGAATCCAACCAAGAACTAACAATGCTTGTGGCCACCCTTCATTACATTTCCCCCCAAAAGCATATATTAAGTAAATTCTATCAATGGACACTAGAGGGCACTCCAACTGGCCAGATCTCTCCAAACATTGTCCATTTCTTTCTTTTTAAGAAAAAAAAAATCACTTAATAATAAAGTGACTGATTTCCTTTAAAAACCACTTATTTAGACAAATAGAGATTTAGAAGTTGAAACATTCTAGTCAGATTAAATCAACTGCTAAATGGGTCAAATGTTGCGCCCTTTGCAGTCCGTCAGTGTCAGTTGAAAAGTCAAGGAATTAGAGCAAAGAGGGGAATGACATCATTTCACATGCAAGGCCCTCCCCCACAGCAACTGGCTGGGAGGTAAAAGGATCTAAATAACTGGTTTCCCCACTCAAGGCTCCAGTGTGTTCCCCAGGCTGCTCAGTCTTAGGCTTGGTCCAAAAAGGTGGAAGAAACAAAACTTTGGCTAAAAGCTAGAGGAGAGGTTTTTGGCTTAGCTGTGACGTCCCAATGGGTCCCCCAGCTGTCCACACTGCTCTTCCCTTTTTCAGATTCGCTCATGATAGTTTCTTCATTTAATAGATTTTCAAGAGTGGGTGGGGAAGAAAGAAGGAAAAGAAAAGTGTATGGTGATTTCTAACACATAATCCTTATCACTTTGGGGTCTCTCTTCCCCTCGATGCACTTGGCGAAACTCCCATTAACACTAATGGGAGTTACAGGAGCAGGCAAGGGGAAGAGAGACCCCCACCGTGTGCAAGATGCATCTCTCCCTAGATGTGCATCATGAGCATTTCATTAAACCTCACTGCTGTAAAGAGGCGATGGAGCCAGCGATTTGGCAATACTAGGGAAAAGATGCATTTTCAACTGTGCTTTCTATAATCTTGATGATGATGTTACCCAAAGACCAACCTCATTTCTGTGTCCCATATGTGAGCTCTGCTAAAGAATAATCTGTTTATGTCACACATACACACGATTTATTATCCTATCTGCTTCAGCATGCAATACRAATTATAAAGTAGAAATATCACAGCTAAGCGAGTATATGTTTTTTAGTCTCTTTCTCCTCAGGAAAATAATGTTCAAATTCTTGATATGAAATGTGGACATAAAAATTAGAAATTATCCGGTTTTGGAAAACAGCAAGCTTCTCTAGTTTACTTTTTAAATTTTTGATTGTGCTTAAATATACATGGACAAAAATTAAGTATAAATGTAGTACAAAAAGCACAGTACTTCACAAAAGTTAACATCGTTCACCCTCACAATGAAAAATCCCACGTAAGATGTATTTTTATAGAATAGAACATAATATGATAAACATACATTCTAAAATACAAGTTAATTCTGTTCAGTTGTTTTTACTACATGGATTAATTTTTTTATGCTACTCACATCATGATCTATATTGTCAAAATTACAAAGGAAAAAAAATCACCTTATTATGTTTCTTATCCTGAGAGGCATGGATGATTAAAAGAGAAAGTAAGAAACAAAAAATAAATTAGCCAGCTTGTGAAGGATTTAAACAATGTACTTGCTTCTGCTTTTAAAAACATACATAAACAGACCATTGGGCAAAGCTAACAGAACTGTTATGAATTGTTTGTATAAACTAAACATGTAAACATTGGAGATACTTCTGCACAGATGACAAGATTTTAAAAACATGATGACAATGGATGAAAAATAGCATAATAAGATAATGAAGAATCTCTCCCTGGGTGTTATAGGTTTGAAAACTATTTTAGAAATAATTTACAGCGTTTAAAAAAAATAAGCAAATGGGATTGTGTGTGTGTGTGTGTGTGTGTGTGTGTGTGTAAGTGTGTGTATATAAATCTGAACACGAAGGAACTTGAAAAAATATAAGATCATCTTTGTGTTTACTTACATATTTTACATTAGACCAGTCTTTTTTTCCCAAGTAAAATCAGTCAATGTGAAAAATATATAACATTCTTGAGTAAGGTTAGAAGTTCATGTCATGTGATGCTCAGCAAGATAGTAATACCCTTGTCAACTCACTGCTCTGCATGGCAAACAAGCTTCTAGTCTTTGACAGCCTAGGGATGAGCAAAGGTCACTGCTATGCAAAAGCATTAAAACTGTTGCTTGAAAAGAATTTCATGTCACTAAAGATAAGAATTATTGCAGTACTTTATAGCTATGGCATGTAAAACTAGTTCTACTTATTGCATTCCTTTGAGCAAAATGTAATTTTTTTCTACCTTTGAAGGCAAAAAATGGGGAGATAGTTACTTTTAAAGGGTGTTTCTTTTTAATTTCTTGAAAATTGCATTTTTGAGAAATCCAATTGCTTTAAGCCAAAATATTTGTATCTGTGTAAAGGGTATCTATCTATACGTGTCTACCTTCTATTCCTGTATTGAAATTTAAAAGAAAGAAAACTACATGCTTTTGGCAGAAGCCTCACGATATATAACCCAAAACATATATACTTAAGTTACTGTTACACATAGTCCTCAAGGTTTCACTAAGCCTCTGTGTTTTATAGCTGTATTTTACAGGACGGGAGTGTTCACATCTAATGACTATGTCCTTGCTTCCTTTCTGAAAAAAGCAAACCAAAAGCTTTTGCAGCAACCTGCTCCTGCCTTCCTGTCCAGGTCCAGAATCAGGCCTCTGTTTCCTTTCCACATGTCACAGTAGGAAGGCCTCTGGAAAGCTACTTCCTGAACATACACTTCTTGTCCACCCTGCCTCTGACAGCTTGAAAGAGTGATGTATGGACATATCAGAGAGGGGAAGGTGACCCCAGCTCCAGGTCTTTGCAGGACCGAGGGATGATAGGGCAGACCTTGCCCCAGCTGACATGTGGCTATGAAGAGGTGTAAAGTCCTGATAAGAAGGCAGTTCTTCTCTTCTTTCCATGTAAAATAATTGCTGGTTTATCAAAACTAACCTCATGCTTGCACTACAGATATGGTTTATCTCTTGCTATTTGGAAATAACAACAAGCAAGAAAAGTGGTTCRTATCATGTGATTCCGTATACAGCATGTGCAGTTATTTTTCTAGCCTCAGTCATAATTAGTACCTGGGGCCATGTGCCAAGTGGAAATGGATAAGGGGAACATCCTTCCTAGTCTTCCAGGCCAACAGTGTCCTTTTCCAATTTTTAAGCTGCTGTCACTGGACTCTGGCATTTCTTACCCAATTCATTTGCTTTCTGTGCTAAYCATATGCAATGAAGATATGCATGGCCAACATTTAAACAGGCTGCAGATCAATTAGCGGTCTTAAGTTTATCTGATTTTTATCAAAGAAGACAGAGCTGTGGGTCGATTGTCAGAGCCTGTGTCAAGTTGACCTTTTCAGAGATGTCTACATTGCCAGTCCCCTGGGCAACTTGTTGTCCCCTGTTAGTCTCTGAATGGCAGAAGTCTGTTCTGCTCAAGCACAAAGTATACACAGATGTCTATATTACATTCTTATAGGTTTGACAGCAACTGCATGTTGTATCTATAAACTGTCCTTTAGCAGTGACACTTCCTCAATGATGATAAGCTAATTTATGCAACTAAATCTCCTTTGTGCAGAAATGAAAGCTAATTGAGTCATTACAAAGTAATTCAGGAAGGAATACCTTGTATAAATTGGCTTACTTTATAAATCCTTCTCAAGTGGTTTTCATGCATCCTAAATGGGACTAAGCAGCTTATCAGCAGTAAGATATCCAGACCAAACAAGCCAACTTCTGGGAGCTGTGTAAATGTCTTTAGAGTAGCAAGAAAGTGGCTTAAAAAATAAAAAAAATTTAAAAAAAGCTTTGCCAGGAAGCCGCACAATCATTACCTGAGGTGTGATGCACACTTTCCTGACTCATCTTCCTTTGTTCTTCCATTTTCACAGAAGCGTTGTCTTCTTCCTCCTCTGTAAAAAAAACAACAGCACACTGAAGGGGTTCCTCTGGGATAACCACACAGAACTCACCCCACTGTTAGAGCAAAACGAAAGTTCATAACACGTAACTATTATTGTTAAAAGAAATGAAACCACTCAAGATTCATATTCCTCTGTCGATAATCTAACAAGGAATAAATAAACTGCCAGCTACTTCTCAATAGCAGATTTACTGAGGTTTACCACATTGGCTTGACAAAATTTAAGATATATACTAATACACTGCACATTTTGTTTTAAATACTAATAGAAATTCATCTGGAGCCATCTTAAATCCAATAAAATAACATTCAGCATTATACTGACAAGCTACATTATACTGTGTGACAGAAATATTACTGATAAAATCATGGTTCCTAAAATATCAACATAGCAAGGAGAAAATGCATGATATACATTACATGTAGCCTGTAAGGCATCTACTGAGTAGCAGACACTTTCATATGTTTTCTGGCTTAATCTACACAGGATGATACCAGAAGGGTCCTCATCTTTCCAACTAATTCTCCCCAAATTATATCGAGCACCTACCATGTGTTATATACCATGGGAGATAAGATTTTGTAGATGAATAGTTTTTAAATGCTCATTCTACAGATGAGTAAATTGAGAGTCAAACAGTGATGTAACTTCTAAAGTTTGTTATTCAAACTTAAGGTCGGGATTCTAAAGTCCATCTTCTATRTCCTACCTATAATCAGTGCTGTAGTCTATACCCTTTCCACATTGTCCATCACATTCCTTCCTTCCTTTTCTCTATCAATAAYCTAACACTAAACAACAGAATCGAACTATTCAGAACCAAAGCACTACTTCAAACATAATCAAAATAGTCAATTCTTTTATATTAAAAATATATCTATTACATTACCACTTTCCCCATCTAAGGATTTACACATAACTTAGAAATACTTAGGACAGGACTTAGGAATAAATGGCATGCCAGAGAAAAACTGGATTCATAAAAAATCATAATTTCAAGAAAAATCCAAAACTTTAAGGAAAAATATGCAATATACATAATATAGTTAGCATGACTATTAAATAAACCAAATTTCTATAAACTGCCAATCAGTTTATAGAAATGAGTTTATAGAGATCAATTGTTCAATTTTCACTGAGTATTAACTAGCAGTAAAGAGGGGCATTTGCTGAGGAGACAAGGGTTAATAAACTCCCGCCTTCAGGAAGCTGACCACTTCAAGGGGACAGAAGACAGGATATAAATGAAAGTGGGCTAAAGGAACCTAAACCTGACAAATAGTACACACCAGCACTGAAGGGGTGCAGAGGAGAAACCTCCAAACTGGGGAATGCCAAGAAGGCCTGTGGGGTAGAGAGAATTTAAATAAGGAGAGACGGAAAAGAAGGCTATTTCCACACCCAGAGAAAGCCATGAACTTAAAAGAACAAGGCACAGTCACATTCAGTGACTAAATAATGTGGGAATGAAGGGAGAGCACACAATGGGAGGAGATGCTACCGGTTTGGACTAGTTATTGAGGGTCCCTGAATACCTAGTTAAAAGACTTTGGACTACGATTTKGTGGGTAGTGAGAACCCTAGAAGGTTCTGGAGCAGACACGGGCCAGGACTGAAACTCTGCTTCAGAAATGATCATTTGAGCTCATTGTGTCAGACAGCCTGGAGGAGCGGGGGTGGGGGGGGAGCATCTAGATAAAGGGGAAGGAAGTCCTGAACTGCAGAGGCAGAAGAAAAAAAAAATCAGAAGGAGATGGTTTTGAGAGGTAGAGGAACCAGAATAGATAAGCTTTGTGCCTTCCTGCCTGAGTATGGAGGAGAGGCAGAAAATAGAACAACTGTGGATGACTTGGGCTCTGAGCTAAGCTGACAGAGTTGCGGGACATGTCATTCCTAAAAAGAGAAGAGCCAAGACAATCTGCTGTGGTGGGGGAACACAGCAGTTTGTTTTTGACAAGAGGGATTTAACGTGCTGGTGGGCTTCCCACAGGGAATGTCCAAGGGCAGCTGTAACGTGTGGTAGAGAAGTCAGGACTGCAGATGTATACTTAGGTGTCTCCTGGAGAGTTTAAGTGGTGATGAATCAAAATCATATTTAAATCAAGCTTGAGAGTTACTGTGCTTACAAGACAAATAAAACTGTTTTGAGTTTATGTAATTCAATTTAAACAAAATAATAAAAGCTCCAATACAAGAAACAGATGGAAATATTTGGTGTTGAACCTAATGGTGGCAATTTAATATGGTATTTTTCTCTTTAAGAACAGTTACCTCACTTATGCCAAACCTCAAACATTAGTTGTCACAAATGGTTTAATAGGGTACTTTCACATAAACTTTAAAAGTAGAAGGGACATTTACAGTCAGTCCAACCTACTCACTTTACAGATAGTTTATTTTTTAAAAGGTGAAGTAGAAAGTTCTACTTACTTTTTACACTTTCTTTATCCCTAGCACTCACTCCCTTTCCAATCTGGTCACAAATCCAATAATAAGAATAAATTTTAAAAGAGATAAGGACATTTGCCCTTAGACAAAAGCTATAACTGCAACAATATAGTAAACAACATTCTCCAAATACCAGAAATTCAGCTCCAAATATCAGAAAAATTAATTATAACAATTAAAGAAGAAAGCTCTGTTGCTTGAAAAAGTTAGCAATGAATTCGTTTAAAATATCATTACAAATTTATTTTTATTAAAATTTAAGCAATTAGGGCTGGCKTTGTGGCTCAGGGGTAGGGCGCTTGCCTAGCATGTGTGACGCACTGGGTTTGATTCTCAGTACTGCATATAAGTAAGTGAATAAAATAAAGCTCCATCAAATATAAATTTTTTGAAATTTAAGAAATTATAATGTATGCTAAAGATTGTATTATTGGTGTCAGAGAGCTCTGTCCCTAAGAAATATACTCCTAAATTATCAGCATGATATTAATAATATTTACTTAAGCATCAATATTCATTGTAAAGTATCCAAGCTGAAGTTCATTTGATATGTTCTTTAATAAGCAGCATTTTAGAGCATAAGGTGCAGACTAAAAACATTTCCTTTTTCCATGTCAAACCTAGTAATTATACCTTTTCAGCAAAAGTATTCTGCATTTCATACATCATTTTTTCTTAATAATATTCAAACAATTCATTTTATCTTGGGCTAACAATATAAGCAACTTCCAGATAAAATACAATAAAATCAAATTTGGTGTGTATTTTTAAATCTTGGGGGAAAAACTCATACTGAATCTCAACRAGAACCTGGCACAAAGGAGATGTTCACTAAATACTGAGTGAACCAATAAATTCAAAAGTCATGAAAATAAATCCTAACACATTCATTTATCAGCAGAGCAAAGCTCCTCAAGCCACTAAAAAAATATGTACGAACAAGTGACCAGAATTCTAGGCAATAATCACCTTCACAATGTGTTAGAAACAYATACTCTCACATGTTGTTTCACTTAGGTTTATTGTTAAGCACATTTTATTTTGGTGTGGAGACACGATGTCATTATACAATACTAATTAATACCTCAAATAGTCAATGTTCATGGGTTAATATATTCCATTCAACATTTTAATAACAGTAAACAAAAACAGCTCAGCTATGCAGTAAAATCCATCAAACCACACAGATGGTTATAAGGTTTTCATTATGTGGTTTCCATAGCAATCATATTGCAAATCTGGAAGCTTCTTGCAAATAAGCAGCTTGTATTTACATGCCTCTCAGCTGCAGCACAAAACTCTTCAACATGTGAAGTTATTATTCCAATCACACATTGTTAGGAGAATCATCAAGAGAATTTTTGTGATCAGACAAGATGAAAATAACAGTAAAGTGAACTAAGTGCAGAAAATAATTCAAACATGGTAATGTATATACTAATCTGTGAGGAGTAGAAATGCTCTGGTAGTTATCAAAAGGTTTTAACATTACACCATGTAGAAAATACAGAACTTCCAAGAGCAATCAGGCCTTATAGAATCCTAAAGGATAAATGCAACCCACTTCTCTTTTTAATAGATACCTGGCCTTCTTTCTGGGTTTAGCAAAAGGAGGAAGCAAAACAGATAATCAAATTTTTCCAAATCTTTTTAGGAAAATCCATTTGAGAAAATGCTTACTGTGGGAAAAGTTAAGACCTTTTTTCCCCCCTTTTAGATTAATCAATTTAATTTACAAATTGGTCCAGTTCCATAACAGATGGATTATTACCCTAATAAGGATCACAGATCTGTCTAGCTATGCATTTTTTTAACAAAATGGCTGTTTCTGGCTTATTTTTGTTCTTATTTTTAGGATAAATGAACAAAAAGAAGTGTGATAAGTAAATGACATGTTTAGGTGACACTGGGTGAGAAAAGCTGAGGACACTGTTAATATTAAGGCAGGATATGTGATGAGCACTTCAAGAAGAAGAGGAGGCAACCTAAGAAAACCTTTACCTTTCTCACAAACACCTTTAGAAAACAGCTTTACTGAGTTCCAACGTATTATAAAAGACATAGATACAATAAGAAATCATGCTGTGAAATGAAGTTTGAGTTTAGATTACTACCTGCCGGGCCTTCATCTGATTATGCAATTACACATTTTTCTTAAGAATGATTAATATTTATTACTTAAAATATCATATTATCTGCACTTGTATTCATTATATAACAACATCCCCATAACAATTCTATGAGATAGTAATAGGCACTTTTATCCTCATCGTTTTATGAATTCAAGAAATGAAATTTATAGAGCTTGAATAACTTGCCCAGGTTCACAGACTCAGAGTATGTGAGCCAGCATTTAAACCTCAGGCCTGTTACTAAGCCCTAACTCTGAGCCAAAGTGTCTTTTCCCTTGATTTTCCTTAAAATGTTCAATTTAAGGGCTGGGAAGGTAGATCAGTAGAAGAGCACTTTCCTGTTATACATGAGGCCCTGTGTTTGATTCCCTAGCATTGCAAAGAGAGAGAGAGAGAGAGAGAGAGAGA